CCACAGCAATATGTCTGTGGTAGGGGGAGTACATGTGCATGCAGATATATATACCTGCGTGTGCATATGTGTGTGAGAGAAATGGGGTGGGTAGTTGTATGCAGATGGGGATATGCTTGTGTGTGTGTGTATGTGTGTAGGTACAGGTGCATACAGGTACATGTACCTGTGTGTGCATGTGCGTGGCGGATAGAGGTTGATGCCAATCACCTTCCTCAGTTGCTCTTTTTTTTTTTTAAGATTTATTTATTTATTGTGTATACAGTGTTCTGCCTGCATGTTTGCCTGTAGGCCAGAAGAGGGCACCAGATCTCATTACAGATGGTTGTGAGCCACCACGTGGTTGCTGGGAATTGAACTCAGGGCCTCTGGAAAAACAGTCAGTGCTCTTAACCTCTGAGCCATCTCTCCACCAACTCCCACCCCCACCCCCCCTGCCCCCTTGGTCGCTCTTTACCATCTGTATCGAGGCAGGTCTCTCACTTGACTCCGATTCTGAATCAAGTGTGTCCTCCCATGGAACTTTCCAGCCAAGAGATACTTGTGTCTGTCCCTCACTGTTTTCCTTATCATAGCTCTCATCCATGTTTGTGTGTGTCATGAAAAGCCGTATGATGACTGATCTAAAAAAAATAAAAATAAAAAAAAACCTCAGGGAGGCCCCCGGGACACACTGGAGGTGACCTAGCAAGAGGAGTGAGGACAGACGGGATGTGGACAGACATAATAAGGCCAGTGTACTTCCCATTGGCCTGCCCATTCCTGGAGGACTTGAAACTCTCCTCACACCAGCTCTGGATCACGACGGAGGAGGAGAGAGGTTTGCTCTGCCCTGATCAGTTACAACTGCCGCCGCTGCCGCCACCACGGAGGCTGACTGGTGGACCTCACTGCCCGAGCACCCACTTACATGAAGTGAGGGGTTTGGGTGTTTTCTGTTTGTGAGCCTGGTCGTGTTAAGGCTCTCTTGTGAACCTTCCCTTCGTCTGCCTTGAGACCGAGAATAAAATCTAAGCAGGGCTCGCACACAGCGTGGAGGACAGTACCCTGCCAGTCTGTACCAGCGGTTCTCTCCCCAAAAGCCCTATTCATTCAGCGATGCAGAGGAGAAGGCAGAGGAGAAGGTGCGCAATCCCTGTGTGGCCACACCCACCCTCCCTCTTTCATTCTCCTGAGGCTTTTTATTCAACAAATTCCCACAACCCTCCATTTCACATCACATACAATTTCCTCTCATCAAGTCTTTCCAACCTCTTCCAGGCACTCCCCGCCGCCTCCCCCCCCCCCGACTTTCTACACCTCTCCATGACAGAGTAGCAATTATTTTCAGTCTCTCTTCCTTGGAGGCAAGTATCACTGGCGGCTTCATTTTTTTGAATGTCTGACATTTTAGCACAGCTCCTGGCACACAATGGGTGCTTCATTGAGATTCCTCAACTAATTAGCGAGATATGAATTAGATCTTGGATGTAATAGACAGTGACTTTTTTTTTTTTCTCTGCTAAGGAAAACTCCAGAGTCAGAAAGCAAGACAATTCCGCAAAGTTTCCTAGTTACGACCTTTCCCAGTTTCTTTCTGCTGTTGCCAGAAGGACGGGCATAATGATTTTTCAACCTCCATCTCACTGTGGAAGGACCATCAAGTTTTTTGTTTGTTTGTTTGTTTTATTTTTTTAACGCCTCCTTGGCTGGCTGGAATAAATGTACTTCAACAAAACCCCAAGATCTTCCTGAAAAAAGCTCCTCGATAATCTAAAGAAGGGAACCCTCGCTCGAATCCAGCGGCTCATCAAGAATTCAAGTAGGACCACAGCTATCAGCACCTTTTAACCGCAGAACTAAATTGTAAACGTACAGTTGCTAAGCGCCAGATAGTGATGGTATTTCTGGCTTCTCCAAAGCTTTCCCATCCATCTCAATTTTGATGCTAGGAGAGGAGGCAGATCTTGTCTGCAGTTTAACATAACCCCACTGGCCTCAAAGTCTGGTGGTTCTGGGGCTAATCCCTGGGAAGTGGGCTAGACAGGAAGCAGTGTTACCTCTCGCTTCCACAAGTTGTAATGGGCTTCCAGATCCCATCTGTGGTCAATGACTGTCCGGAGCTGAGCTGGCCAGCCTCCAACAAGCTTGTTTAGACAACTTGATGAGTTGACACAGGCAGTGAGTCTTCCCAGCGCTGTCGGTGTCTGAACATTAACAAGCTACAGCATTCAGTGCGGCTATTACAGAGAGCAGGCGTTTTAATCTTTGTTTTGGAAAGGAGCCTTCCAAACAAACCCATAGTTTAGAAGTCCCGGGAGCAAGTGCCTGGGTGGTAGCAATAGGGCAGAAGGAGGTGGGCTGTGGCATTGAGGAGAACTCCACTCATGGCTGGACTAACTGGAAAAGGAAAGGAAGCTGGCGGGCTCCCAGACAGCCACCCTTGGAGAAAGAAGTAAGTATACAGTGCAATGAATTTTCAGCACACTGTCAGCAATCCTGCACGCTTAAATTCCAAGCAAATCATTCACAAAGGACTCCCTTACCTTGGCTAACAGCAAAATAAACAACTTTCCAGGGGAAGAGAGTTTCTCATCTTCCAGGAGGTCCCTTACGATTCTGAGATGGCCAGGATGGGATCGAGAATGCCGATGCTGGGAACTGGCGTGGATCCCAGGTGTATCGCTTCATCAATTATGGTCTCGTTTGAAGAACATGGATGGTGATAAGAACATGACACAGGAGGCTGCATTTGTCTCCCAAGAGTGAGCCCTCTAAGCAGAAACAAGGACAAGTGATCCACTTGTGAAAGAGAGGCAATCACCCTGGTTCTTTTTCTCTTGCTCTTTTGACAACGAAGAATATGGAGTCTATCCAGAACTAAGGTTTTGTGCTCTGAGGTCAGTCTCTTTTGTGTATTATTGAGGTAGAGTTGAAAGACAAAGGCCCCAATAATATTTTTCATCATAGAGAACTACCATTTAATTTTTCTTCTAGAGATCTATTGAAAATAGATTAGAAATAAAATAAACTTCTCAGCATCCATGATTATCTAAAGAATTATTTGTGGGGTTGATCTACCAACTCAACTGCCTTCTGAGTTTGTAGGGCAACACATCATTCTTTAGCCATTAATATGTAGGGTGTTTTTTTTTTATAGAAAACAAGAAATTCTTTGGTGTTCTACAAAATCTGCGTACATTCAGATACTCAGAAAACTGGATCCACCATCAGTTTGATTCACTTAGCAAGGCTGAAATCGAAACATGGAATTTTAACTGTAGTTTACTGCAAATTTCATGAAAGTGTTTTAAAATAGGAGCAAGACACACATAAAGCCATCACATGATATTCCAGTGGAAAAGGAAGAGTTAAAAGACCTCCCTATTCTACCACCCTGTTGTGAGCTGGTCTTTCTGTATGCTGTGAATGTGCGTTGTTACCATTGGTTAATAAAGAAGCTGCTCTGGCCAATGACAAGACAGGTTATAGCCAGGCAGGAAATCCAAGACAGAGACATGGAGGAGGAGGGCGGAGTCAGGGTAGACACCATCCAGCTGCCCAAGGAACAAGATGCCAACAGACCGGTAACACCATGGCCATGTGGCAAAGTACAGGTTAATAGAAATGGGTTAATTTAAGATATCAGTGCTAACTAGCAATAAGCCTGAGCCAAACAGTTTGTAATTAATAATAAGCCTCTGTGTGTTTATTTGGGACTAAGTGGCTGCTGGACATGGGAAAACTTCTGGCTACATTTGGGGTCCACAGCTATACCCTCCCCCACCATCACTGAAGAAAATCTAAGTAATAGATTTTTGAGAGCTCAACTGAATAGCAATTTTATTGAAATTTCTAATCAGAGAGAACAAAAAAAGAGAAAGAAGTAGTAATATACCATATTGAAATGGAGATTAGCCAAGGTTATCTGACCTCTGCTTCATTTATCTGTACTCTCCTGTACTCATATTTTAGAAACATTGGTGGTCTAAACTACTAGTATAATCACCTTAGCTTATGTCGAAGCCATCTACCTTCAACATAAGTCACGTGTGTGTGTGTGTGTGTGTGTGTGTGTGTGTGTGTGTGTGTGCCACTCTGCTGGGCTAAATGATAACACCTCTCCCCTCAGATCCGGGTTCTGGGACCTCTGAAAGTTGCTTTCTATAACCAGAAGATTTTTGCAAGGCTTTGCCAATTATGTTAAAGTTCTTGAGATGAGGCAGGGGTGGGGGCATCATCCTGGATTATCCCAATGAACCCTAAACCCAAGAATCCACAAGATGAAGATGGGTAGAGACAGAAAGAAAGGCAACCGAGCCAGACGCCATACTGTAGCCTCTGAAGATGGAGGATTTGGATTATGGACCAAAGCAAGCAAACAGGACTGGGAAGTAGAGCTAGTCTAGGCAAGTGGGCCAGAAGCCCTGTTGGCCCTGTGGTACCAATGAGACCATTGCGGGCGTTCTGTTTTTCAGGCCACCAAGTTTGTGGTCATTTGTTGGAGCAGACACAGAAAGCCAACACAGTCATGTTCCCTTTAAATGACTTGGCAAATTACTCATTGACAGCTCTTCTTATAAATATGTCAGGTACATACAGAAATCCTGGGTTTCCTAAGATGTTTGCTATAATGTAGCAAATTAAGACATTCTTTTAAAACTGGTCATGCTTAGAAGGATATGTTTTGGCTTAACTAGTCTGGCTGGCTATTTTTTTGGCTCGACTCACTGTTGGCTTACAATTATACCATATGTAATAAACATTAAATAGAGTATCTATTTCAAATCAGCACATTTTTCAATTTAATTACTTGACTTTTAAATTTTTTATTGCTTGGTATTTAAATTTTTCCAGTTTTCATTCACTGTTCTCTTTAATAAAAAACAGGGTTGTTGTTGTTGTTTTTTTCCCTAAAAGTGTTTGTTTCACTGAAATTTTTAAGAAATTTCTTAGAAATGTCATGAAGTAATGCTGACAACACATGTTAAAATGTTGGCCCTTTAAATGGTTTTGAACAGCTCTGGATGGACTGCAGATCAAGCGTCTAGAAATGGCATATGACCATTCACAGGTAATGCTTCTGGAGAGGGCAGTGGAAAGACACCTCCAGCAACGGGCAGACTTCATTCCCAACCCCCTTTGGGGTGGGGACCTTCTCCTCAGCACACTGATGTGTAGCTATGACACCTTTAGAGGAATGCTTTTCTTCCCTTATACCACCCCAGTCTGCCTCCAAGACTGAAAAATGCAGAAGCAGAGTACGTTATCAATGAAAGAGCAAATCCTGCCCACCTGATAATATCAGGGGGGAAAAAGACTCAGTCAATCCAAAAGGAAAGTCTACTGTAAATGGAAGTTGGACGGGACAGAAAGCTCCACCTCCAGTTACAGACTACTGTTAGCTGTCTGGTCACAGGTGCCCAGAGAGACCCGAAACCACAGGTGTTGGCTTCCTGTACCTTCCCCTCTGTCAATGGGTACTTTTCTCTTCTCTAACCTTTAATATAACTTAGTTAATTTAGGAAACATACTTGGATTGTCAGTAACTTTGAAAGGCACAAGTTTTTTAAGAAGAAAAAAAAAGTCCATAATCTACTAAAGTCATACAATTGTCAAATAAGACTGATCTGGACGGGATGTTCATTCTCATGCAGATTATCTGTGCTGAAATGAAGCCTGGTTATTGATGGGTCTCCCCTTATCTTAGGCATGGTAAGTCCAATGTTTACTTTTTCCATTCACTTCTCTATTTTCAGTGGCAACTCTCAAATCCTAAGAGAACTTATTCTACACTATTTTCTTGGGCTGTCCTCCTCATCCTAGTAGGACGGCTTGATGGTGCTGACCCCACTCCCTTCGGAGTAAGTTAGAGGCTTAAGGAAGACAGGTTCCTTCTGAAGTGCTGGCTTGTTTTTGTGTCTTTTGTTTTTGACAAAGTAGAAATAAAATCTTGAGAACACAGTAGGTTCTTCTCCTTTCACCAGAGACTCAAGAGTGGAAATAAAACTGTCCCAGCTTGTGGAAACTCTTATGGGAACTGGTACCCTGGAACTCTTGAAGTCAGTTGCCTGAGAGCCTGCCCTTATCCCGGGGCCTCCATGCACAATGACTTTGAAAATCCCTTGCAGCAACTGCGCTCTACCACACTTTCTTCCCTTGGAGACCTTGCTTCAAGACTCAAGGCCATTCCAGGTCTCGAAGAACATCCTTACGGTTTGTCATACTTCTGTCTTACACAGCCTCATGAATTTACCCAGCCTATGCAAATTGGTACCCACCGTGCCAAACATCGTACCGCTCTCCCTTGGGTGTGCATCTTACTGTCGTGTCTTCCTTTGCTTCTTTCTCAGGTAAAAATTTCTGCCCTACACCCAGGACCGTATGTGATTTTCCTGCTCCACCCATTGATGGTGGTTGAATTCTTAGAATTCGAGTCAAGTACTGGTTTTAGGGGCCAGAAGGTTACTCCACAGTCCCAGTTCCGCTACTTGCTGGCCTTGTAACTTGGTTTGACCCTCTTAATCTTTCATTATCTTCATTTGTAAAGTCAGAAGTGAGAATATCTATACGTAGTGCTTATAAAGAACAGGAACAAATTGAATAACACATACAAATATTTTGAGCAAATCCTTTTGTCTTGTTTACTTTTCTGTTGCTGTGTTAAGACACCTTGACCATGGCAACTTATAAAAGAAAGTTCATTTAGAGCTCATGGTTTCAGAGGGTCAGAGTCCATGACCACCATGGTAGATAGCATAGTGGCAGGCAGACAGGCATGGCTGGGGAGCAGTACCTGAGAGCTTAAGTCTTGATATCCATGTGCAAGCCAGAGGGGGCGGGAATGGTGAGGGCTTCTGAAATCTAAAAACCTGCCCCCAGTGTTATACCTACTTCAACACCTTCCCCAACAGGGGATCAAGCACTCAAATACATCAGTGCATGGGGCCACTCTCATCCAAACCATCACATGTGGGTACCAGTGTTCTAGGTGAAGAGATGTGACTTCATACTGCCCTGTTGAGACTGGGTCAATGAATAAAGCAGGACTCTTTGGAGGCCAGTATTCCAGAGTCACCCTGATACAACAGCGTTTGTTGTAAATATCTGGGCTCACTTTGATTGGGTAGTATTCATACTAGACTAGCCACAGAATAAATAGTCTACATTTCACTCTTTCCACGATGAAAGTTCTTTTTGGAATAAAGGTGGTTAATGCGATGTATCCAGGGTATTTAAAACAATCCTATAAAATCGAACGCTTCCTTTAACTTTCACCCCTTGTTATCCTTTTTACAGTTTCCATTCCAATGTCTGCCCCCTCAAAACTCAGTTATTGGATGATGATTCCTTGAACGGTGTTATTTAGAGGTGGGGCTGGCGGAAGGTGGTTAGATCGTATGAGCCCTTGCTCCATGAATGCACCCATCCATTTGTGCAGCCATCACTTACTGCTATCGTGAGGCATCATTACTTACTGCTAGTGAGGCAGCAGAACCCATAGGAACTGGAGCATCATGGGAGAAAGTGCATATGACTGGAGTTGGGCCCTGGGAAGGGTCTACTTCTCATTATACCTGGTCCTTCCCTTTTCTCTTTCCCCTTTCTCCTTCCTGGCCTCTCTGAGGTGAGTAGCTCTGCTCTGTCACATTCTCCATCATCCCCTTCTGCCTCACTACGGACTTTGAAACATTGGTGCAGAGCAGCCACAGACTGAGACCTGAAAAATGAATCCCAAACCAGCCCCTTCCTTCTCTAAGTTGCTCTGCTCGGGTGTTTTTTATCACAACAATGGAAAGGTAATAGGATCCTAGAATAAGATGTATAGGTAATTCAAGTCACTCACTTAAAATAGAAGACCCAACGGTTAGAAGAAGCGCAACTCAGGGAAGACAACTCATAATCAAAATCACATGTGCATCCATATGTAAATACACGGACAGCAAGACACCGAAGACATAACAAAGTGATTATCTGCTTGCACTTATTTATAATGAGTAAGTATGGGTTCAGAAGGCCGCGGGTCCTTCTGTACAAGATGTTTGGTGAAATGAAATCAGGAAGTAGGAATGGATACAGGAACGAGAAGGAGAGCTGGCTAAGTACTAACAGGCTAGACATTTTTGTATCTGATAATCCAAAGAAGGGAGTCTTCTTGATTTAAGTGTAGAAAAATGCCAATGAAAAATAAATTCAAAGTCTACGAATATTCTTGCAAATGGGCTAGTCCATGTTTATAACTGTAATGTCAAAATAATTCTCAATGTTATGACATGGATTAGGAAAGCAACAAAATATCAAAGAAAATTTCCTATCTTTTAAGACATGCAAGTCTTAGATCTCTCTTAGGATGCTTTTCTGTGACATCTACAGATGCAGACAAACAGGTTTGAGGTCCAGCATACTCAAGACTGGTGCATCATTTTCCAAAATGCAAATGAATCTTGCCGAGGAAGATCATAGCAAATCCAAGGATATCTTTCTTTTGCTTTTTGGTTAGTTGTTACTCTGAAATTTGAGCCTATCTTAAGAGTGTTTCAAATACTTTGTGTCTCTATGCAAAGTAACATTTGGGGTTAGGCTCAAATAACTGCAAACAAATTCTCCTTTGTATGACTATTTGGTGGGGGGGGTGTTTAAGGGGTGAAGAATTGGCTTCCTCTTTGGATTTTTCCTCTGCCTTGTAGGGCATTTAGCAACCCTGATCTGTCAGAGCCTGTGGAATACAGCCAACAACTGTGGAAGCCAGCTGTGTGCCCAAGAATTTTGGAAAAGGCCTCTAGGGGGCGGTACCACCACTACTGAGAACCAACAAGATGGTTGATCTTGTTAGCCTTTGCCAGGCTTTTTTTCTACCCAGCCTCTGTGTACACACTTTCTGTTTGTTTCTTCGTTGCCTAACCTAGGAAGTCTGCTGTGATAGTTCGAATTTCAACGTCCAACGCATTATGACAATATATATTTAAAGAACCCCCTGACTGGAAATACAACTTGATGACTCTGTTTCCTGTATACACAACATATGGATGGTAACCTAGGAAGAGAGCTACTTTGTGGTATTTCTGGACTGTATGTTGCTTCTCCATTGATGAGAACAGTCACTGGCATGTAATTGTTGCTTCTGGTGATTTCTGTTACAAACACCGAAGAAGACATGTTCATACACATTACCAAAGAAAAGAGAGATGGTTTCAGTGCTTGGGACCACACTCACTAGGGAGCACAGCCATCCGTCAAGACATATGCCTGAAGGCCACACAGGCGTAGGCATAGCAGGAAATCTGCCCCACCGATTCCTGTCCTGTATGAGACCCATAGTCTACTAGTCCTTCTGAGTGGCCTTCAAGAGCAAAGTATGAGGATGTGGAATATTAGCTTAAGATGTGTTACATTTGTTTATGAGGCAAACATTTTTTGAATGATGCAAAGATGTGTTGCATTCTTTTATGTTGCATCTGTTTTACTCTGTGAAGCTGTGTTACTTTACCTGTCTAAAACACCTGATGGGTCTAATAAAGAGCTGAACAGTCAATAGCAAGGCAGGAGAGGGATAGGCAGGGCTGGCAGGCAGAGAGAATAAATAAGAGAGAAGAGAAGATGGAGAAATGAGAAAAGGAGAAGGAGATGAGGATGCCAGGAGCCAGCTACCCAGCCACACAGCGAGCCATGGGGTAAGAAGGAAAGAAAGTGATATAGAATAAAGAAAGGTTAAAACCCAGAGGTAAAAGGTAGCTGGGATAATTTAAGAAAAGTTGGCTAGAAACAAGCCAAACTAAGGCTGGGCATTCATAAGTAAGAATAAGTCTCCTTGTATTTATTTGGGAGTTGGGTGGTGGGCCCCCAAAGAACAAAGTTGTTTTTTGTTTGTTTGTTTGTTTGTTTTTTTTAAACAATCAACTACAATATGAAGTAGAGGCCCTGATACCAAGGTAGAGCAGAAGATCTGAGGAACTAAGCCAGGAAACTGGCTGGCTTCAGAGCAAGAGCTGAAGGAGGGGTTGTGGAACCATAGCATGGTCAGCAAGCGTGGGCCGCTTGGGAGAGAAGGTGGCTAGAACAGGACTCTACAAGCAAGCCGTGGTCTCAGGTCTCTGATGTGCCTCACAGCAACTGGGATCCCAAGAGTCATGTGGAAAGATGAATGTCTACTGTTGGACCTTTGCTCGGGAGGTTGGTGGTGTTGGGTTCAAATGAAAGCGAACCCATGGTTGAGTGACTTGGGTTGATCTGGAAAAGGAGGCTTTGTCTGGGCTCGCTCAATGTTAAACAACTGGATAAAACAAAAAAAAAAAAATGGAACCCAGCTGGGTGGGTGGTAGAAAAGGGGGTGGTGGTGAGGTAGAAACCATTATTTATTATGAACGAAGTTAAGTAGGGTGACATATTTTGCCTATAATGTATGATGAAGTATTTGAACTCTTAGTAGTTTTCACTCTATAAGTAAAATCACGGGAACTAAAGCTTAATTCTTAGAGTCCCAAACAGAGGGCGAGCTGATCAAAACTTCCAGGTTTTATGTTCAGTAAGTGAAATGTTCGGGAATGCCCTAAAGTATTCCAGATGGAATGTGACTTGAGGTGGGAGGCAGGAAGGAGGAAGGAGAGTGCGCCATTTCTCACCTTGACTTTACATCTGTTATTTCTTTCTTATTTCCCTGAAATACCAGACTTGTCTCCACAAAAACAGTCCCCTCTTCATGCACACTACCCCTGAAGTCTCCTCTCCAAGAACGCAAAGAAAACAGAAGCATAAATGTGTGATTCCTTTGTTTCTAAACCCATCAGTAGGATTGATTTTATTTGAGCAACAGTTATCCTAAATTTCGATATTGTCTTATTTCTCAACAAAGTCACGACTACCTGTGTAGAAACCAGTATCACATCACTGTTTAAGGAAAGGGATGTGATGACAGAGTATTTCACTATAAACAAAAGTCTCGTTTCATGTTATGGAAATCTTAACCTTCTCCAACAGCACAATGGTGTATTAAGGGTTCATGGTGAGCATTACTCCCAAGCAGGATCCAGTGGGGACCCCAGATGGTCTATAAAACCTAGCAGAAGTCATTATTTCAATCTAACATTCGTGGATTGTGTGTGTGTCTGTGTCTCTTGTATGTGTCATCTTGTGTGTGTGTGTGTGTGTGTGTGTGTGTGTGTGTGTGTGTGAAAGCAAAGAAAGAAACAGAATTGTTTGAAATAATGGAAAGCAAAATAAGAAAAAAATTAAGAATCTATCTGCGGATCTAGGAAGCCAGGCTTGCTGGAAAAAAAGTACTGTTCACTCTGTTGGTTTGTTCATGGGTTAGACTTAGAAACAGTACTAGATTCTGAAGGCCAAGATGAGGTTTCCCATAGCGATGCTTCCTGGCAATCTTCACATCTGTAGACAAGGACTTATGATGCTGTGACCCAAGGACAACAGCTGCCAGAGGTCAGCTTCCACCTGGATGATAATTAGCAACATATTGCTGTCACGCTGTGTGTATCAGTTCACACTGTTTCCCAAGCCATGCCACATAAGCTGAAAGCTAGATTAACCCACAGGAACAAAAAACCCTTCCACACTTAATAAGAAGCATGAATTAAAAAAAAAAAAATCCAACCCTAACCAGCCTGGATAAGTTAAACCTACCCTTGTTATTTTGGAAATGGGCTGGGTTTCTCTTTCCCTTAACTACAATACCCTCTTTCACAATACCCTTCCCCTTAATACAGCACACCCTGTGCTTATCCAAGCATGTGCCTCAGGCCTGGGGAAAGTCATTCATCACTGTAGGCCTTGGAACTCCCTGCCTGCCTGCCTGCCTGCCATAGACACAATAAATCCTAATTGTATACACTGACTTGCATTTCTGAGTGTGTGTGTGTGTGTGTGTGTATGTGTGTGTGTGTGTGTGTGTGTGTGTGTGTGTGTGTGTGCACGCACGTGTGCACATTCTTGTGGCCTTCTTTACCAGGGCCAGTATTCCCTCAAAGTGAGTCTACACTGGAATTGTACCTAAATGAATTACTATTTTTGGCAAAATGAGCTGCCCATTTACAAAACACTTGCCAGCTCATCCTCCTTCAATCCTCATGGTAACCTGGTGATGGTGTTACC